AGGAAACAAGGCATGTATTTGCCTGCAAAGATTTCAATTTTGCATATAATTAGGACATTATGAAACTGTTATAGGAGAAATCACAGCAAACAAATTACGCATAAAGAAACTTATTGTAACATGTACATCAGACAAATTATAATAATAATAAAATAATACATGCTAGAGGGGGTCCAACCCTATCTATGCGTGAGAGAGAGAGAGAGAGAGGAGAATATAATTATTGTTGATTGAGAAGTGATTGATGGGAACTATAATTTGGGATTAACTATGCATTAACTAAGAACAGAACTTATGGAAGATAAAACATACATCCAAAAATCTACAATCGCTCTTGGATGTATCGCTAGACTTCTTTGATTGAAACCGTCTAACATCACCAAATGTTAATATTCCCTCAAGAAGATCTTCATCATCAACCACCAACACACAATTCTGATGATTGTCACGCATGCATTTTATTGCCTCTTTCATAGTTACACTCACAGGAACTTTCACATAGTTCTGTGACATGGCCCGTGAAACCTAACATAAGAAGGGATGAACAATTGAGCAAGTCAGGTACAGCGACAATCAAAAAGTGAAAAGAGATTCTGCAGTTGCAAAAGAAAATGTAAAATTTATCAACAACAATTAAAAATGAGTGTTTGTGTGTGTGTGTGTGTGTGTGTGTGTGAGCGAGTGAGGAGAGCTCTTGATAAACAGCTCAAAACAAAAGGAAGAAATGTGAAACCTTTAGATCTTCCAGAAGCAATTCTTCACTAACTGTTTCAGAGTCAGAAGTGTTTCCTATTACAGAGAGTTCCAAATCATGTCCACTATCAAGTTGTCTCCGCATAACTTCATCTTTCTCTTCATCAGCCGAAACAACAGAATATACTCTTGCTGAATTCCGTGTATCAGATGGTTCAGTCTCCAGTGGCTGGTTTACCACAGAGGGAACCCAAATTGCCAATCCAACAGCTCCCTACTTGCACAAAACAAAAATAAACAGTAAGCACTAGCAACCTGTGCACTTAATGACAATGTCCAACCCCATCCCCAAAGAAGAAAGAGTTAAAAAATTATCTCAGCAGAAGAATACCATGAGAGGAAGCAATATCCGGTAATCTTTTGTCAGCTCAAACAGAAGTAGGACAGATGTCAATGGCACCGAACAAACTGAAGCTAGTGTAGCAGCCATTCCAACCTGCCCAAGTTTAAAACTATTTCAGTCATATTTAATGGGCTAAACATATTTTTACACTTGACCAAGATAGGCCGGGCACAAAGAACTGTACCAGTGCATAAGCCTGTGGCTGGGCAACAGCAGCATTTCCTGGAATGGCTGAATTTATCAGTTCTGCAGCTGAACCCCCAAACACAGCACCAACAGCAGCACCAATCATCAAGCTTGGTGCATATAGGCCACCTACAAGCCCAGAACCCTTGCATAAAGCTGTTGCCACAACTTTGGCTGCTGCCAATTGAGTTAACAGCCAGATTCCAGGAGCTGAAGCAATCCTCCCAGTATGCAGGATTTCTTCAACATTTGTGAAACCCCAGTACAGAATTCCAGGATACTTAAGAGCGATTATACCAGCTCCTAAACCACCTAATGCAGGGCAGGCAACAGCAGGAAGGCCAAATTTTTCCTTGATAAAGTCAAAGAACTTTGTGAACCAAGCAACCAAGCGAGTGAAGGCTACACTTACAGCACCACATAGCATGCCCAATATCAGGTACAGAGGTAGTTCTGCAAGGCAACACGAAAAAGTATTTTTAAAAAAATCTCAAAACAGATGCATCAAAATCATTTATCCACAAAATTTCAAAATCCCTTGTAAGACAGCAATTCACCAGCATAGATGTCCTTGGAAACTTACATACCAAAGTTGCACTTTGAACAATTCTATGTAATAGAAAAAAGGAACCGTTGAAATGAAATGGAGGTACAAATAATATGCAAAGTGACTTTCCCACCATCAACTCAGTAACAGAGCAAACTCCAACAGTGATGTGGATATACACTCAAACGGACCACTTAGGTATAGTTGTTTGAGAAAAATATACACATGCATGTCATGCACGCACACACAAAATCAGATACTGCATATACATATATATCTAAATAAATTGAAAAAAAAATAGTATAGTGCACATATGCATATAAAATAAATGAATATTCAACAATAAATTTACTGAAGAAAATGAAAAAAAACAAAAACTTTTTGAAAAAAGAAAGAAAGAAAGAGAGGGAAATATTAAGTACCAGCTGCAGATTTCAAATCGTATGCAGGCACAGTAAAGGCTGATTGAGTCCCAAGTAAAACATTAGATACGGTGGATGATATAACAGAAGCCAATATAATCATTGCAGTTGTAAATGGAGGTGAATTTTCTGCTCGAAGAGGCCTTAACACGGTTTCAATAGCAAAGAAGCAACCAGCAACTGCTGCATTAAACCCTGGAGAGAAAAAATCCTAAAAGATTATAAAATGGAGAAACAGAACTGTATAAAGTTGTCTTAAATAAACATCTTTTTATTAGAATGAACAGTACTACGAAACTAGAGCCATGATAAGAGGATCAGGCAAAAGTACATAAAGACTATCTCACTATTCTAATGCCAAACTGATTATTTGTTCATGTCCTTGATTAAGGCACACAAATGACAATAACAATGATAAGAATGAAGAGAAGAGGAATGCATCTCATATTGAAGGAAAAGTTCCTTTGACATGTTACTCTAACCTGGAAACAAAACTTGAGATAGACAACTTGTATTTTCTGATCTCAAAGACAACTGGATGTTGCAAATTAGATAAGTGAATGAACAACAGACCAAATAATTACATTCATTAATGAAGTATCAATCTCCCACAGTTCAGTCATAAAGAAATTTATTCTATTTCTTTTAAGAGTAAAATTTAAGTTGATTTTTAAGGCAAAACTACATTAAGCTGCTTTTGATAAACGATTGTAACGAATTAGTAGACAAAGGAAACAATAAATGAAGCTAACTCATAAAATAAATGCAAACAACTTGTAGACAAGATATTCTGGGTTGTACCTGAAGAAATTCCAGCCGCTGCACCTGCTGCAACAAGGGCAATCTTCCTTTCTCTGTTGTTTTCCATCATTAATGAGAATCCGTTGGCACAAGATTTTCCAATATCTACACTAGGGCCTTCAGGACCCAAAGAACAACCAGTACCTAAAGTGACAGCGGCCTGGACAGCCTTTATTGTGGGAAAAACTCCAGCAAGTAAATCAAAACCCTGTCTTTGAGAGGAACTGGACTGCCTTATCTGGTCCAATATTTCAAGTAAACCATGCATCATGCCAACAATAACCCCACCCGTGACTGGTATTAAAAGAATTCGATGCCAAGTATCACCCAGTCTCTGCAGACGGAGCCATGCAGCACCATCATTTGGAGTACCAGCCCAGGCCCATTCATGTATAACATGTACCTAGATGAGCACTAAGGTGTCAATGAATGTCAATAGAACAAACTAAACAAGACATAATGTTATAGACTCTACAAGCTAAACAATCAAACCCAGAAGCACGATTTTTAATCTGTTATTGGCACCATTTCCAAATGTAGACCATCTTGGATCACACCGAGTGTCATACAGACACTGGCACAGAAACAAGCAATAAGAAGCACCAGAAATAAAATACACCAGAAATGACACGCATACTGTTACAAACTCTAGAACCCAAACATACATACCAAGAAGCACCACCATTTCTATCTCTTATTTCCAATCATAATAACCAATCCCATCAAAACAATTGACACCATTTCCAAATGCAAACCATCTTTGATCAATTATATTGCAATCTAACAGAAAAATAGCGGTTGCAAACGTGTAGAGGCAGCATTGGAAGAAGCATAAAAAGTGTCAAACACAGAGAAAGTGATGTAAAACTAAGCACCAAGTTCACATATTTTTCAGCACTTTACAAAAATTATAAGTTTTCCCATGATGGGCAACAACTGGATCTCCAAAAACATGAATGGGATTATGCATTGGAGGCTTTTGGAAGATGAAAGCTTACCCCTTTGTTAAAAGCCGCGACAAAGAGACCGGTGGCGAGGCCAAGAAGGCAACCAATGAGAAGCAAAGCCCACTCGGGAGGGGCACTATCGGCAAGCTCATCATTCCCATCCATGCCGGCCAAGGGCTCATGATGCTGCTGATGATTATGATGTTGATGGTGGGGATCTACAGGGGAACGCGGCTCTCTAATCTCTCTGTGATTGTGGTTTTCTCGACCGCGCTTGAAACTGATCCGGCGACCGGAGAGCCCTCCTGCGCCGTCCAAATGCTTGATCAGCAGATCTTTGAAGCCTCCGACGCCTCCTCTTCTACTGGTCGGACTGATACTGTTCTTTCTGCTGCTCATTCCATCTTGAGCTTCCAAGTCACTGTCTTTCTCTGCAGAAGCGCCACCATTTTCGTCTTTGTTAATGTCGTTCGAGGATCTCAGGAGAAGAGCCTCGTCCTCTCCTGACATCTTAGCGCGCAAACCCAAAACCCCAATTCTCTCTGTCTCTGTCTCTCTATTTTAACCATATAAAATCAACAGTTGTTTCTTCTTCATCATCATTTTCTTCTTCTTCTGTTCTTTATTCACTGTAAGATTATACGCGTTCTCTGTTCTGTTTGCTTCAAAACCTTCCAACGTCGTTTTTACCTGCTCCTATCATCAATTCCTTTTGGCTTAAATGCGGTTTTGCCCCCGAACTATAACATAATTGTCAATTTGCACCCTCAATTATTTTTTTGGGTAAATTAAGGGTACGAATTTGTTAAAAATAGTCAACTCAGTCCCTATGGTCAGATTTTGACTGATTTCATCCATTTCTCTGTTACTCTTCCCACGTGATGTGCACGCGACCCCTTTAAGAAGAGCAATATCGCCACTTCACCCTTCATTTCGACTAAATCCCCCCCAATTAGCCCTAATGCCCCAATTTTGTTACCCAGACTAGTGGTGGTGCTAAGATGAGGCGCGAGACATCGACCTCAAGTGAATGTGGAGGAGCTATGTTGGGGAGATATTGTAAATGTCTAAAAGAGGCGTTAATAAGGATATTGTGGACAGATTTAAACCCTGGAAGAAGGTTCTATGTTTGTGGCACACAAGGGGTGAGTTTTATGATGCTTTTGGTTATTTGAATTTTTCTTTTAATCTGATTCCATGAGTGATGCAGAGAGGTCAATGGTGTGATTTGTGGAAGTGGGGAGACCTAGAAATGTGCGATCGTTCGAGTCAGATCATTCCCGGGCTGTTAAGGCGTATTAGAACTATGGAGGAGAAACTTCAGTTGCAGAGAGCTAAAGTAAAGAAGATTAGGTTTTGGTTTGGTAGCTGCTTCATTGTGATGATAATTTTGGGCCTTTTTGTGTTATTGAAACCAAATTCAGGGATGGGAAACAGCTGAAATTGGAATTAATGTGATGAAAGGGTTTGATGGCATGTACTTTGTGGTTTTGGGTAATATGTGTTAGTGGTGTTGTTGGGTTTTTGTATCTGTTTTTTGACGCCATTTCCTGTATAAAAAAAAATAAAAAAATTTGGCTAGCTCTGAATGAAGTGGTGCAATTCGTAACAATTTGATGTACGCATAGTATTGGTGCAATTGAAAAGACAAAGTATAAACAAGTTTTAAAGAAACCAAACCTTTATTTGAAAAGAAGTACTGAGTTTTGCATTTAACACTTTGAAGTACAAAAGTGCATATCATATCATTGTTGCTTAACCATAGCGCAATTACAAAAGACTTGCTAAATACCACAAGTGCAGAGCATTACAAAGAACTGGTTAAAAAGCACAAGTGTATAGCATTACAAAAGACTTACCAAAACAAACAAGTTCACAATTACAAAAGTCTTGCCAAAACAAACAAGAGCATTACAAAGAATTGGTTAAAAACCACAAGTGCATAGCATCACAAAAGACTTACCAAAACAAACAAGTTCACAACAGAAGTCTTGCCAAAACAAACAAACAAGTTCACAATTACAAGGCAGTTGCATTATAAAACAATTTCACCATTACAAGGTCATTGTCATGACCTTTTTTGCAGGTGAGTTGAACTTTGGGGATTGACAGATAACCACTGGATAATTTGAAACACGCAAAGTTGATCTTAAGATTTGATGATGTTGATCTTACAAATGCAAAAATGTGTTCCTTGTCACGAACACATTGCACTCGTGATAAGAACATTGGCACAACATTACTTCAGCAATTTTTATATAGAAATAATTGTAACAATATTCAATTGTTTTTGTTATTTATCAAAGAAACACATTCGAATTTAAATTCCTTTTATTAAAAATGAATATTGAGATTTCAGATATGAGGTTCAAAATGAACTTGTTGATTTAGTGGCATGCGATTACTTATTATCCAACTAGAGTTTGGTTTGCTTGGAACTCAAATTAGGATTAGGATTAGGATTCAATTAGGCGATGGGTTTAGTTTTAGAGTTATAGGTATATAAGGTGATCTTGAAGGTTTGTTGATGGGTACAACTCTCAAGGTCGACTGCCAATATGGAGGACACTGCAACACCATTTTTACGCCCCATTATAGTAAACATTATATAGAGTAGATGATGTCAAATATACAATCATCGTAGTCTTAAATTTGCAAACTTCTTTTCTGTTGAGGGACGTTTTTTTTTTGGGTATAAGGAATAGTCTAAATTAGAGGGGAGATGATTTCTCTCACACAGACACAAATGATGCCATGACAGTTTGAATTTGAGATCTCTTATCTACAAAATGAATATCGAGATTTGAAATATGGGGTTTAAAATGACATGTTATAATTTATTTAGTGACATATGTTTATTATTTGAAAGGGTGGAAGCTATAAATCTGGAAAGTCAGGAATATGAGAGAAAGGGTAAGTTGGAACTCAAATTAGGATTAGGAAAGGGTAAGTTAGAACTCAAATTAGGATTAGGAAAGGGTAAGTAAATTACGAATTTTAATTACTATATTTGTATCCTGTTTTGATTGGGAATTTTGTATTTATTGTAATTAGGTTACTTGCTTCTTACACATGTAAGTTGTTATATATACCTCCCTTAAGAAGAATAAAATTATCTCTGAAAATCCTAAATACCAAAATCTTTCGTTTCGACGCAATGGCGATGAAGGAGCTGAAGAAATCTTCTGTAATTCGCCTCAATATCGGAGGAAACAAATTTTGCACAAGTGTTGATACTCTAACTCAGCGTGAGCCTAACTCAATGCTTGCTGCAATGTTTAGTGGACGCCATAATATTGCGTGTGAAGAAGACTGTGAAAAGGGGTATGTTTTTATTGACAGGGATGGCACACATTTTCGGCACATCCTTAATTGGTTAAGGGATGCTACTGTTCCTTTGTTAGAAGAGCGTTGTAAATATTCAGAGCTTTTGAGAGAGGCAGAATATTTTCAACTAGTTGGTCTAACAGAGGAAATACACGCTTTTCTAAACAAGGAGGACGATCAAATTGCAAAGTTGGATGCAGATTTAACGCGCAGGGATATCATCAATTTTATACTATCTAATGCTACAATGAAGTTTAGAGGTTTCAATCTCTCTGGCCTTGATCTTTCGAAACTAGACTTGACGAAGATAGATTTCAGTTATGCATGCCTGAGAAATGTGTGTTTCTCAGGTTGTGATCTTACACGCGTAAAATTTAATTATGTGGATGCCGAGGGTGCCATCTTTAACAATGCTACTTTGACAAGTTCTGAATTTTTAGGAGCAAATCTCCGTGACGCTTCGTTTGTTGATGCCAAGCTTCGCTTTGCAAAGGTAGACAGTGCATGCTTGGTAAATTGTAGCTTTTTGAGAGCAATCTTGGAAAATGCACAGCTTTATAACTCTGATCTTACAAATGCTAATTTTAGGGATGCAAATCTTATAGGTTCTTACGTAAAAGATGTGAATTTGCAACATTTGGTGGGTGCAAATCTTGGCGTTGTTACTGCCTACCGTAATGGGTTTATATGTAAGAACCCAAACGAAATTCGTTGAGATATCAATTTTTGCTGGCATTAATTCGTTGATAATATTTGTGCATGTGATACTGGCCAGACAAGTTGCCCTACTTTTTGCAATATTTCTAACTTCGTTGAGCTTCTCTCATGTTTTTTCTCATGTAATATATCTAATTTTTGTAATCTCTCTTTCCCCTCAATGAAATTTAGTTTGACAAATTTTGTTGTCGCATATAAAATATATCTACATGTAATTAACTTCAAGTGAGAATGTTCGAGAACAATATGGGTAGAATTTTCTGATCGTATTCTTCTCCACAAAGGAATCTTATTTACACCATAAACTTTGTATTAACTTTGCTGTTGCTGTTGAATAATATATATTGGCCAATAGTGAAGTGAGAGAGAACAAAACAAAGCTAGTTATTATTTAATTAAATACATTAAAACAATTAATCATCCCTTAATAAATCAAAAGACGGGTCCTTAGGACCTCAAGTGCTTGGGTAACTAGTTTAATCACTTGAGGTACAAACTCCTTATATACTTCTTCTTTAATCAACTTATGTGCATGCCACTCATGAATTGATATGCTACGTATAAATACTGGAATACGTTATTTTGAGGTTTGGATCGGCAATATGTACATGATCCAATTCAAGTGCATGTAGGTAGAGCATGTGTATTTATGTGACTTGATTACACATCTTGTGATTTTATTCACAACTCCTAAGAGAGGCAGAATATTTTCAGCTGCCTGGTCTAAAGGAGGAAATGTGTGCTTATGAAATCGTTGCAAAGTTGGGTGCAGAATTAAAGTGCATAGATACATCAAATGTATACAATCAAATGAGAGAATTAGGTTTAGAGGTGTTAATCTCTCTGGCCTTGATCTTTCGAAATTGGACTTGACGAAGATAGATTTCAGTTATGCATGTCTGAGAAATGTGTGTTTCTCAAATTGTCATATTCACGGCGCAAAACTTAATTATGCAGATGCTAAGGGTGCCAACTTTAGCAATGCTAGTTTGGAAAGTTCAGAATTTGTAGGGGCAAATCTCCGTATATTTGTTGGTGCCAATCTTGGCTCTGCAAAGAAAAATTGTAGCTTTTGGGGAGCAAGCTTGGTCGCTACAGAGCTTCATGATGTTGATCTTAGAAATGCAAGTTTAGAGGGGGCTTGCTTGGTCTCTGCACAATTGCTTGATGTTGATCTAGCAAATGCAAATTTAGAGGGGGCTAGTCGAGAACGTGCAGACTTGAAGAATATCAAGACAACAAACTAAATTTAAGGATGCAAATCTTCAAGAAACTTATGTAGAGAATGAATTTTCAACATTTGGAGGGTGCAAAGCTTGGTCTTGTTGCTCCTTCCGGTAATGGGGTTATATGCAGGCCTTCTCATTTGTTCTATTATTAGAGCTACAAGCCTAAATTTTGGATTTTTTAAAAATAATTTAAATAAAGGATAGGATATTTACAAAGTATTTCTCTAGCAGGACTTGGCAAAAACTTCCATTTACAATCATCTCCACGTTGAGTAAGAAACGGTTTAAATGTCATCAGAACTGCGATTGCCTCAACCACATTTAGGACGAAGAAAACCACCTGCACACCTACATTAATCCAATATATATACCAAGTGGTAAATTTAGCTAAAACAATATAGTTACATAAATTTTATCGAGTTCATCACAAATATATATGGCTAAGCTAAATTCAATGCACATATTTAGATTCAACAATGCATGCGACAAATTAATTAATCATGCACTCTCTAAATCGCTTGGACCAAATTCATATTGCGAGTATGTGGACAATTAAAAAAAATAAAACCACAACTTTTTAGCTAACAAAAATCCATGATGAAAAGTTGGTCGACATTGATTGATACCTGGGAGGATGATATCATTCTGGCGTTTCTCTGCCCAAGAAAACCTGTCGATAGATGAAATATGATTAACAAAAGGAAATATGTTACTAGACATGATATAGCTGAAGTCCGGCACTAGCTGGACCAACTGCCTTGACCAGAGACATTGCAGTCATGGCAAGGCCATTGGCAGCACCTCTTTGTTGTTGTCCTGTTGTTTAATCATGGTCAATCAAGACAAATTCTTCAGTTGAAGAATGACTATTTTGTTTTGTTTTTAACAATGCAATATTTTAAACTACTCTAATGCATGGGAAGGAGGATCGAACTCAGGTTAAGGGAGGGGCGCAATAATCTTATCACGTATTAAAACAAGTAAAGGGGTAAAAATAAAAACTAGGTAATTATAAAGGTGCAATTACCACAGCATTGTTTTGGATAGTGAACAGGCCAGTTACAATCGCAATTTTAAAAATAGTATAGCCGCGCGGCTCTACTCGTGAGGCGCTGGGCGGGTCTTTATGTATTCATATATAGTATAGCCGGCCGGCTATACGATATTCTTTTTTAAAATTTTTACGAAAGCGTATAGCCGCGCGGCTATAATATTTTTCCTAATTTTTTTAAAATAGTATAGCCGCACGGCTCTAATCGTTTGACATGAGGCACCTAGGACCGGGCTCGTCCTTTACCAGATTTGCCACAAATTGTGATGTGGTATTATTATTCATTCCTGTGTATGTATGCAATGTGTTGGCGGTATGCTTCATAGGTTTGCTTATTTGGGTTGTGTTTTACATTGGAATACTTGTTTTTCAGGTCATTTGTGTGAAATGTGAAGGTAAATCCAAACATGCATACTGCCTATTTTCAGGTGGTGTGAATTCTGGATTTGGAAGGATACATAGACAAGTAACTAACTCCCTTATGAATTTTAAAGGACCATTTTACATTTAGTATCATGATTCCAAGGGTTGTAGACTACTCAAGAATTTCAAATCTCAAGTTTTATGTTGAAATTGAATAAAGGACTAAAAATGCTGCTTATTTCTTTATAGTTCAATCCTTCCCTTCCTTCCCCCAACTAAATCCCTAAAGATTGCCCATATTACCATTTATTAGCTCTCCGAAGTCCAAAGGCAGCCCCAAATCCATAACTTAGTTGCTTTCAGATTTCATGCAACCTATTTTCTTGAACCAGCCCTTTCCCCCCTTTAAAATCTAATCCTTTGAATCCTACTGAAACTCTACAATGCCAAAAGTTAAAAATACAAATTGACAAACCTTAAAGCCCACCATATATGCAATTGTAGGCTGATTATTTAAGTTGTCCTACATCAAAATATTCTTTTTACTTGTTATTCTGTTGTTCAACAACAGCGATAAGATTGTTAATAAATCAAGATTGGCTGCTTGTTTTAATTTAGTGTGATTCAAGTAACCCCTTAAAGGGGTTTGTCATTTGTTAATGAACTAATTCTTATACAGTTACTACTGAGCATCATTCAATTTCTCTCCCTCAATGTTTGTAGGATTTCATGGAAGATTATGAGATAACTGTGCCTTTTCAATCCCTTCAAGCTCTAGGATGCCATGTTGATGGAGTTTGCCCCAAGAAAAAAGTTGGTGATATCTGCACAACTGCTGTCCATGATTTTGAAGGTGATCAAACCTACAGTGAGAAGCAAGGCCACAATTTCACTTTAACAACTGATTTTGATACTATTGATGTCTCAAGTTACAATGCTCTTGTAATCCCTGGAGGTCGAGCTCCAAAATATAATGAGAAAGTTATTGAAATAGTGAAGCAAATCATGGAAGCTGGGAAACCAGTTGCATCCATCTGCCATGCCATGGGCAGCAGATTTTAGCCGCTGCTGGTGTTCTGCAGGTAAGGTTATTGACATAATCATTTAAGAGCAGTTCCCCACTTGGTACTTTTCTTTTTCCGCCAGACTACACATTTGTTTCCTGAAACTTGATGCAAAGTCCTTATCCTTTAAGTTTATCAATCAAGTCGAATTATAAATTTTACTAATTCAATTATGTGCTTTTGACAACCACAATAATGATTTTGTTACGAATTTTACTGATTTTCCGTTTGTTACCCACCAAGACTAGGCTAAGATAGGGAATCACCTAGCAAGGTTAGGGTATAAGCTAGGCAGTTTCTGTGTCTTATAATGTGTTAGGTGGAGTGTGGTGTATCGTCAGACTTGTAAGTGGGACATTACTTATCTTCTATGTACATAAAGTGGTATCAGAGTGAAGATTCTATTGGAAAGTCCAAAAGCAACCACCTTGAAGTTCTGCACTGTTTGTTTCTGATTCTTCTGATTGATGGTGAATTTACTTATTTGCACATTATGAAGTTTTTAGCATGCCCTAGTTGTTATCCACTGCCTACATTATAGGGAAAGAAATGCACTGCATGCATACCCAGCAGTGAAGCTTAATGTGGTTTTGTTGGGAGCAACATGGCTGGAACCTGATCCAATAGATCGTTGCTTCACTGATGGAAATTTGGTTACTGGAGCAGCGTGGCCAGGCCACCCGGAGTTCATTTCTCAACTGATGGCATTGCTTGACGTTCAAGTATCGTTCTAGTTGCTGTTTACTTGGTCAGCCGCTTGCATGTGATATACTTAATTCATGAAAGATTAAGACAAGGGTGATATGCTGCCTCTTGTATCAATGAGTGACCAAGTAATAATCTGTTTTTGATCTGTATATGCCATGTTCCATGCAAGTAAGTTCTGTCTTGCCTGCGAATCCCAATCCTGATGTCAGATTGTATGCTATTCCTAACATAGGGAATGAATATCGTGACTATTGGGATAACATATTCATATGCCTATTACCTGTGCTTTATATTGAAATTTGATTTATCACTCACCGAAGTGTCCTTTTCGTTTGTTGCTGCATCTAGAGTGTATTTTTCGCATGATATTAGATTTTCATTATTGTGAATTAACAATTTATTTAATAAATAAATAAAAAATAGCAGTGAAGGGAAAAATAGAAGCAAGAGGGCCTATTCATCACAAGAACACATCCATTTTCTCTGCTTGGTTTTGTGTTTCAAGTGAATTTGTTTATGAAGTCTGAGTACAAACAGAGGAGGTCAAGGAGAGGATATTGGAGATGTATGTCCTCACCTTCACTCCCCTCAGTAGTAGATAAAAAGAATATTTCTTTAAAAGATATCCCTAGTTGAAACCATCTATTTTCTATTTGTATATGTATAATCTTGTACCACATGAGAAAAAATAGTAATTGTATTTGCATATCTATGACTACATTCATATGTGTCGTTAATTTTCGAATAGGACTATCTGTTAACCGATCTAATAAGAATTTCTATTGTTATGTGACCATTTCCAAATAATGCAAAGGATTCCAAAATTATAAAACACTGCTCAAATGCCCAAGAATCATATACATACTGAATTTGGTTTTATCTCAGCCGCAAGGCCAAGATGATATCCTTACAGACAGAAACAACAAATTTTTAAAAAAGACAATCAACAGCACCTCTAGCAGGCAAGGTACTTTGCAATAACGAACTCCTTTCATGTCTGCACCTATTTCTATATTCTAACTCGGAAAATTTGTCAATTTGTCACTGTTCCATTGAGCATCATATAGTTCTAGTTTCATGAACACTCCTACAAGCAGTCCACTACACAAACTGGTTCACATTATCATTTTGATAAAGAGACATGGCAACAGGAGAGACGTCGTATAACAAAATCAGTTCAAATCACATAACCCAAATTTGGTCCACAACTAGCAACTCAAGTTCAAGCCCAAAATCTAAAGACCCCCAAAATTTTGAACTAAAAGTGCAAACAAGAAGAGAAAATTGTAACCCCAAGACTAATTTTCATTTTCTCCCTACCATTTCTTAACAAGATCCAGTAGTAATTTTACAGAAAGAAATCACCTGAAGAACAAAGAACATACAGGGTCGAGAGCATTGGGGTCAAAGCCATAATCAGCTGCCAAAGAGTAAAAGTACAGACTTTGACACTTGTTCAAATCTGAACTTGAGGGTCGAGGTCTTTTAAGAGTCATTATATATTGTTATTTTTGCCCCTGTCTATATATTGAGAGGAAAACAAATCCAAACTTGTCTTAACCACTTGAGCTACAAGCCTTTTGAATATATATTGTTTCTCACATTACTTATTTCCCCAAATCACAATTTGGCACATTTGTAAAAATAATTTTATCAACAACACAAAGAAAAATATTTGCACACCTATCAAATTGAATTTGGCAGGAAAATAGGAGGCAAATTCCCACCATAAAAGCTTGAAATACGTAGCCAAATAATTGGTAAGCAGAACAACGGCCATGTTGCATTACTTTCCAAAATGCCTATAGACCATTTACTATTCAAAACCAGATATTAAGAAACTGAAAAGGAAAATGCAGGGGCTGTATATCTCAGTAGCATACTAGCAAATCATGTTAATGAATCACAAAACTGCAACTCAATCAGCTTAATCAGCTAGTTTCCCTCCGGCATTCATGGGTAAAGAGAAATCTCATATACCTGTAATGCATCATGTATGCTGCTGCCACTGGTTTGACTCAAAAAGAAGCGGAGCGGGTGAGCCTTGGCTTGGCTATCTTCTTGTCCTCTTCAAGAGGGATTAGTGAAAGATTGGCTGGGTTCTCGATCATCAGTTTAGCTACCAGATATCCTGAGATGCTCCAGGTCTGGTACTTCCTCGCTTGCTTCCAGACATATCTCCCTGCCTTGCCGTCATAGTATTCTGGCCACCCGTCTTTTGAGAGCCGCTGCTCCACCTGTTCAATTGCTCTCTTAGCAGTCTGAGGCCTCCTCGTCTTGATACATGCTGCAGTAAGCAACCACAGCAGTGCTACAAGACAGATGCAACAACATTAACCAATTGTTTTAGAACAAACACATAAGTCAGAATTCTGTGAACAAGCATCAAAATATCATGAATAGCACAACCATTTGGCACGCTTTCCCAAATTACATTCAGAAATGTATCCCACAACATTTATATACTCGAAGGATTCGATTGGAAAAGTGGTTACAATCAGCAAATAAAGATGTTTAAAATAAAAGATACTATGTCAGGTAAGTAGTGCTTGTAGCCTAGTTTACTAAATAAAAATAATAACTAGCCTACTCACATAAAGTGGGTACTAATGTTCATGAAATGTAATTGAAAGGTCTCAGTCAAATAGAACTAGCACTAGGCTTCAAGTAGAAAAATAGAACTGCAAATTGTAATATCCAGCAAATAGACACAGGGGACATTATCCGAAAGATTTACAAATCAACGGAAACTAACAAAACCAGCCTTGAGCCACCGATATTTAAGCAAAAACCTTTATACTTTAATGGTGAAAATGACTACGAGAGGTGCTAAAATGAATAAACATAGCATGTAACAGAGACAAATCAAAACAAGACATGAACAAAAAGAACAGAAAAGATAAAGAACTAATGCAAATAGCACATTGTGATAACACCATCTCCATCAGACTTACTTGGCCAAGAGCCACCATTATGATAACTCCATGAAACTGCTCTGGGTTATCAGTTGTTGTTCGGAAATCTTCTTTACAGGTTAAATCCTTGAACACACTCACTCATATTGTTAATATTACGGAATAAATGGCCTAGGCGGGCGCTAGGCGGGCTAGGCAGTCTAGGCGGTGGCTAGGCGGGCTAGACTGGGGCTAGGCGGTCTAGGCGGGCTAGGCAGGCTAGGAGGACCAGGCAGCTTAGGCGGTTGCTAGGCGGTCACTAGGCGGGCGCTAGGCGGTCTAGGCGGTTGCTAGGCGGGCTAGGCGGGCTAGGCGGTTGCTAGGCGGGATAGGCGGGCTAGGCGGTTGCTAGGCGGGCTAGGCGGTTGCTAGGCGGGCTAGGCGGTTGCTAGGCGGGCTAGGCGGGCTAGACGGTTGCTAGGCGGTCCGTGGGCGGCCGCTAGGATCATCAATGGTGAAAAAATTGAAACGCGGTGTATTGGTAGGGAAAATAGGAGGGCTTTGTAGCACACCACCGCCAATTTGGAGACTTGACGAGTGTTACCATCAGCAAGACAACAACAACAAACCCTGTTCTGAATTTCTCCCACAACTCTTCAGAATTTCATCTAGTTTTGGGATCAGACAATAATTCTTCGGAATTTTACGACGATGATGACAATGACGAAGAAGATGGTGGTGGCTGGGAGCGTGGTAGAGTTTAGAATATTCTATTTAAATAGTATAGCCGAACGGCTATATTCTATTTATAGATTATAGCCGGTCGGCTATACGTTTAGAATATTCTGTTTATATTCGGCTATACTCTTCAACACATTCCATTTATAGAGTCCCGCCGCGCGGCTATACCTTTAGATATTCTACTTATACAGTATTTCCGCGCGGCTATACTTTTAACATATTCTATTCCTTTGTCCATCTGAGAGTTTAGTCCAACCAAATTCTCTCTCCCCCTCTCTCTCTCTCAAATACCAAGAAATTGGCGAAAGGCGAACGCAGGGTGTTGTTGGTATTGGGGGACTACGTGGAAGACTACGAGGCGATGGTTCCATTTTAAGCACTGCAGGAATATGGAGTGTCCGTTGATGCCGTCTGTCCTGGCAAGAAAGCTGTTGATATCTGTCGCACAGCCATTCATCAACTTTCTCCTGCTCACCAGGTCACCCACCTCTGCTTCTTTTGCCTTTTCCTTTTTCTATTTGTAATGAAAATCGTTTTCTTTAGCCTCATTACATCACTTGAGCACTGTCAATTGGTCTTTTCCATGCTCTGTAATGAAGCACACTCAATTAGATTGAAGATTGAATGCTTACTTCACTTGAATTTGTAAACCCAA